AAAAAAAAAAAAAAAAAAAAAAAAAAAAAAAAAAAAAAAAAAAAAAAAAGGGTCTGAGGCGGCACGTGTAAAATTCGCACACATTTTATTATTGGGTCCCCTAATTTTGGAGGATAAGGCTTTATTTTGGCCACTTGCTTCCTTTTTTTTGTATTCCCGTCTTTATCACCCTACCAAATTATTTCTTTCCCCCAATCTCCGCCCTTTTTTTAACCTAAATAATAATAATATTTCCTTTTTTTTTTCTTTTTACCATGGGACTAATCGATTAAAATCCATAATTTATTGAAAAATAGAGGGAATAATTATAATAAATTTTCTGAACTATTCTTTATTTATGATAAAAAAAAATTAAAATTAACTTTTACATGTGAAACAGATTTATAAATATATTCCAGATAATTAATGTATGATTCTTCCAATTATCGCACTTAATTTTCAACTATTATATCTCACCTAACTTCATTATCATTATTATAATCGAATATTGATGCTTTACCCATTTTTTTCATAATAGTTCAACCATGATGTGGGAGAGTATAAAATATTAAAAATGCCATACAAATATATATTTAAAATGGTAATCAAAATAATTATAAAATTATACTAAAATAACAGTATTCAATCAAAAAAATATATAATTGAAAACTAAAAAGGCATAACGTGGGCTCGAAGTTAGGCCCACCGGAACGAACAGAAAGCTGGCAGCGCCGAACTTAGAAATAAATAATAATAAAAATAAAAATTTACACGTGACAAAAATACGGATTTTTACCTTTTAAAATTTAAAGTAAATTTGAAAGGTATTTTCCTCTGATTTTAGGCTCATTTTTCTGTTAAGAAAGTCAATATTATCGATAAACAAGCAATTAAAAAATTGTGGTAAAGTCAAAGGCTTCAACGTTTATTTAATTTAATTTATTCATTTGTTTTTAGAAAATAAAGTTTTTTTTTTTACCGCTTCTTTGGTACAATTAGATTCTACTTTTTCTTTTTCAGATGAGAACGTTTGAATATTTGTCTAGCGGCTTTGTTTTTCAAAGTCTGTAATCCGTAAAATCCTTTTAAATTAACCTTTTTATTTCTTCGCTATTTTATATTCTAAGTTTTAAGGTGGAAAATTATGCTAAAATATATTTTTAAAAAATTATAATAATCAATATTATAGTAAAATAGTAATTATACAAATTTTAAAGGACAAAAAACACGTCTATAAATTAATTAATCCAAGCCAATATTTTTTTTTCATTGTTTTCAAACATATTTCAAATAAATTTTTAATGGTATTTTTTATTTTTTAAAAAAGTTGAAGGTATTAATGCTTATATATATATATATATATATATTTATTTAAATATAATTTTTTTAAAGATATTTTTGGAATAAAGTATTAATGGTTTTTCTTTTCTTTTTTTTTTTCTGCTGTCATTTTTTTAATGAGAAAATTTAATTTATATTCTTTAAATTCTAAGGTTATAGTAGTAAAAATTCCATAATTGATGTCATTAGTTTTCTAATTCAAAAGATTACTTCAAATATTAATAAAAGCATGGAAATAATTTGAATGAGTTCAACGACTACATCAATACCCTAAGTACAAACCCTAGCCACACGACATCATTAAAATAAAATCTCGACCTAAATAAAAATCCATAAAAGAAACTATGAAGTTAAAGAGAAATAAAAAAGAAATTTGGTCGTGCGAGGTCTTTGTTCCCGTTGTGTTCTTCACGCTTTCGTGCCTCAAAGTCCCTTCCCGAGCCTATTAAAAATATTTCAATACTCGAATGATTATGCATAGATCATTATATGAAATTTCATCTCTGTAGGTGATTATTTTTTTTACTGAAAATAATATGTCATTATAACGAGTTGTGAAAAACATCAAAAAGCTAGGGACTACCCTACGTTCGTTTTAAAATTTTGTGGATAGCGTCAAAACATCATAAGTAGCATTGGGACGCTATCGAATACAATATAGCGACTTTGAGTGAAACATGATTCATCCAAGTTGTGGTATGAAGAGTCATTTATAACGTGCTTATTTATCTTCCTAAAACGACACCGTATTCCACCGCTCCCGTCAAGCACTACCGCTCCTTTTTTTTTTTTTTTCTTTTTTGGGCCAAACCCATTTTAAAAAACCGTACATTTCTTCAGATTATATAAAGAGAGAGAAGCCGACCTCCCAATCCCATTTCTATTATTATTATTACTTCAGAGCCCTATTGTCATGAAAACTAACTCCTCTCTCAGAATGAGGCGAAACTGCAACCTGGAACTTCGTCTTTCTCCCACCTCCTCCGCTATCGCCGCCGTCTCCGATCACTCCTCCGCCGCCGTCGCCGCCCCTAACGCCAACCCTCAAAGCCAACAACTCACCATCTTCTACAACGGCCGGATCTGCGTCTGTGACGCTACAGAGCTTCAGGTAACAAAACGAAACCAACATCTTTTTTTTCTTTTTTGCTGTTGTGTAGTACGGAACTTTCCTACACCCAGGGTTGCCTTTCTTCTGAAGAACCACGTGGTGTCCACTGATTGGGTTGGTTTCTGTCATGAAGCCGACACCAAGCCCTCGAACCGACTCATTAGACTCATTTAACTGAGGTTCGACCATTTTTCTAGACCCTCGAAACAAAATACAAACTACACTATTTATTCGACATTTGAGTCGTTTTTTTATCACACCTTCGAAACTTATAATTCTTTATTCAACATTTGAGAATTCAATTGATAGGACTAACATAAAGAGCCGTCTACGAATCATTACTCTCCACGATTTGTTCTTAGTTTTCCCGAAAGGTGTCGTACAAATAAATATGTATTCCTTACTTATAAATTCATTCTTTATTCAACAACCCTGGAATGAGTATTGCAGGCAATAGCGATTTTAAAGTTGGCAACTAGAGAAATGGAGGAGAAGGGTCCGAACGAAACGCCGTGGCCGATACTACAGCAGTCTCCGGCGCCTGTAACTCCGACCACCCCGGGGCTCTCGATGAAGAGATCGCTGCAAAGATTTCTGCAGAAGAGGAAGCACAGAGCCCAACCCACTTCTCCACCACAGAATTATTACAATAACGGAGACAACTAAAAATTACCATTTCTGCTTCTTAATTCGTTCCTCCCTTTTTCTTTCAATTATATGTATGGCCTTTTGTAGATTACTATGTATTTGCTTTTGCTGTTTTATCTTTTTTTCCTTGGCTTCTATATTAATTTCTTCATTTATACTCGAATTATTATTATTACTTGACAGGTAGGTAAGGATATACGTGTGACACCTAGATAAGGATATACGAAAACAATTGAGACTATATTTAAATGAGAGTAATTCCAATAGGTTAATAAAAAATTTAAATAATTATCAAATAATCCATGGACCACCTACTCGTCTCCTCCCCTCCATTGAATAAGAGTTAAT